TTTAAATAACCACTGACGGTGTTTTTTACACATACACGACGGTTTTCGAAGTGTCACGCGCGTAAGTGATTGCCATTGTAAATATACACTTCCTACAGCGGTTTCGGAAACAACTGTATATGTTAACTATATACGGCGGTTAAACAACCTCCGTGTATGTCAACTATATAAGGCAATTATTTAAACAACCGCCGTCTATTAAGTGACGTAGAATAACACAATATATTAGACGACAGTTATTTAAAAAAATCGCCGTCTATTAAGTGACGTAGAATAACACATTATATTAGACAACGGTTATTTAAAAAAAAAAAACCGACGTCTATTAAGTGACGTAGTATACCATTTTTGTAGTAGTGATTAGGGACAAAATTTGCAATTTTAGTATAACTCAGGACAAAAAGTGTAACGTCAATGATAACTTAGGGACAAATGTGAACATGACCAACACTTAGGGACGAATCCTACAATTACCTTATAACTCAGGGACGAAAAGTCCTACACCAATGATAACTTAGGGACGAAAAGTGAGCATGACCAACACGGACGAATTAATACCATCTGAGGTCCTCCGAGTATAGTGGTTTTGCCACGTTTAGTCTTAAACTTTTAAATTGACCATCTGTGGTCCTTCGACTTTCAAATTAAACCATTCGTGGTCAAAGTTAACCACTCATGGTACTTCAACTATTAAATTTTAACCAACTATGGTCCTTTCAAGAGGACCACGACTAGTTAAATTTTGAAATTTGAAGGACCATGGATGGTTAACTTGGACCACAAATGGTTAAATTTGAATGTTGAAGGACCACAAATGATCAACTATACTCGGAGGACCTCAGATGGTATTAATTCAATTCTACAATTACCCTATAACTTAGGGATGAAAAATGTAATTTTTCCAAAAAAAAAAAAAAAAAAAAAAAAAAAAAAAAAAAAAAAAAAAGAAACATAAAAGTCCATTTTGTTATTTTGGTCCACTTTGCCGTCCTAGTGTGTGTATATATATAGTGCAAATTGCGGTGTTTTAAAATGTAAGAAAATTTAACTAACGAGAATCTCGAAGTAATGAATGTTAAACTTTTAACTTTTTATATTTATTTTTTTTTGGTAGAGAACTTTTTAGGCTAAAGTGTCATCCCGCACCATAAACTATAACAGATTCTTCAACCGCACCTGAACTTTCATATCATTCAACTAGATCCACTTATTAATTATTTTTTTCCATCTAGAACTTTGTACAGATTACTTACAGGTTACAGGTAATAATATGCTGACATGGAATTTTTTAATTTTATTTATTTATTTATTTTGCGTTCACGTCTTCCTCCCTCACCGTTTCTGGGTAATATGCTAATCTTGGCCTCGGTTTCTACTTCCTCGACTGCGCCGTCGATGACATCGGGGATTTCGTCACTGTCCGCGTTGATCCCGACGTTCCTTCTGGACAAGTCTCAATGTCTGATCCTGGAAGCACATATCGCACACGTGACGAGATCTGGAGTGAGACAGGAGCGTGATATAATTGAAAGAGTACGTCTGAAAACTCATACTAGCTCATGATATTGCCATTGAAAATGAGCTAAAGGATATTGAGAAGGAAATTAGAAAAGAAGCAGATGAAACCATTAGCTAAAGCAAAGGAGTTCCAAATGCCAGATACTTCTGAACTCTTTTCCAATGTTTATGCCAAAGGGTTAGGAACCGAGGCTTTTGGAGCAGACGGGAAGGAACTGAAAGCAACACTCCCTTGATTCTACAAGTGCATCAATAGGCCACTATTTGAGGAGATAAAAGAGGGGTTTAAAGAATAACACCAACACATTAAAACAGTCAGTTTCCACATTCCCTTCCAATCTAGCACAGCCTTCCTGCCCCATTGATTTTTCACAGTTAGGTAGCTCCATTTTTTGATGATCTAAATAATGAATCGTCTGAATACCTGTAATGACAAATTTTCATTTTTGATAGTAATAATAATAATAATAATAATAATAGGCTAACTAGATATTTTTAGGTCTTATTCTTCCTAGGCCCAAATTATAATTTAGTTGGTTAAGTTTTGATTTGGGCTTAGTCCATTCTTGGGCCCAATAATATTTGTATATCATAAGCTTGAGAAGTCCATTAGGGGGAAGGAGGTTATTCTGGAATCTTAGTAGAGAAGAAAGAGGGGAGAAAAGGACACTTGGAGCTTTTGGCGTAAGAAGAGTGAGGAGGCAGTAGGTTTTGCTTTTGTGCTCAAAAACAAAGTAAAAAAAAAAAGGGGACAAGGTAATTACTTTAGTTTTGTTGTTAAAAGAAGATATTTTACACTTTAGCATCCTGGTTCATTTTTTTGCTGTAATTCGAAGCTTAAGAATGGGAATTCTAGTGAAGAATTGAAATTGTCAAGGGTTGTTTTAAAGTGGGTGTTTTGGGATAGCTTTAGTAGGGTTATGTGCTATTTTATTATTTCATTTCCCTTGCAAACCTATGATTTATTACCCATGTTGCAGCTGATTTTTCTCCCTAATGAACTACATCTTAATTGTTAAATTTTGACAGTACTTGTTTCAAGAAGAGTAATAGAGGTCTTAGGCTCATTTATTTATATTTTTGGCTTGTTGCTTGGTGTGGAGAAAACATGGTTTTTTATAAATTTACAAGAAGAATTTGTAAATATTTGGAATGCTAGTAAGTTATAATGGTGTATGTATTCGATAGGTGACCGTGAAGGTTAGTGCATAAAGGAATTTCTATGCTTAAAGCTTACTAAGGTAAGGGAACTTTGCACTTACTTACTCATTGTAACTTATATACCATAGCTTAAGTGATTGTAAAATATTGAAGCTATTCTTGAATATTATGGGCATGTTTTGTATGATAAAGAATTAGTACATATCTCGTGAAAATTTGGGAATTTGATGCGTTTTAATGTTGATCATGTTATATATAGATTTTCAAAGGTATTAATCATATTGGTGGTCTAACCACCCTTGTCTTGACTTGGAATGTTCCCTTGATTTCCAACTGGTGGTCTCGCCACCCTTGATTTGGAACATTCCCTTGATTTTAATTGGTAGCTTTGCTACCCTTGACTAGTGTAATATTATTAATTGATCTTGGCTCATCCTATGAGTATATTATAGTTCTCAAAGTAAAATGGTGAGTTAGGTAGGTAATATCTTTATTTATTTATTTCTATGATATTTTGAGCACCGACCTATGATTCATGACTTGAAGGGAAAACTCTGGAATTATTGATACTCTTATGCGATAAAATTGTATAAGAATACTAACGATTTCATTATAATTTTTATTAAACGTCTTATGTTACCTTATTTATTTGTGGTCCTCTTTATTCTTTATACTTGATTTGGTAGAGAAGTGTTATATGATGTACCATGCTTTGAGCTCACTTGTGTGTTCATGTTTTCAGATTAGAGTGTTGATCGAGGTTAAGACAAGGGAGGTCACATTTTGGGGTTAAAGACCATGGGGTATTAGTCTAGTGTTTTGTGATAGAGGAGGACTACTTCTAGTCTTTTTGTGGAGATCAAAGTCCATAGTAGGACCTTGGATTTCAAGTTGTAATTTTGGACCATGTCTAGAAGCTTAAATGTGTATATTATAATTCCAATTAAGCTATCTTTGGGAGAAGGAACTTTAAGACCAAGGGGTTGTTTAGGTTATCTTGTGATTGATATTTTGTTTAGCAGGCTTCGTATTATAACGATTTTGTTTTTGTCGTAATAATACGGCCGGGTTACGCTCATTTTTGGGGCGTGACAGAGTTGGTATCAGAGCCTAGGTTTGGAATTGATTTTCTATCCAAGCATAGGTTGACTCCTTAAAAAAAAAATTAAAAAAAATCTAGGCTTGTAAACAAATGTATGTTCTAATATGGATTGGGTGGGTCGTTTGTAAATCTTAGGTATTTGATGTTGTGAATGATTGTTTGTATTGTTTTTGTTATATTTCATTGTTTGTATGTCTTTCAGCAAATTAGTCAATTCATGGATAGAGGTCGTGGAGGAACCTCTGGCGGCGGAAGAGGAAGGCAGGCAAGGCAATCGAGAGGTGGTCGAATTGCTAGGCTAGTTCAAGGGATTCGAGATGTACCGGTTGATGAAGTCCCTTCTTCGGGTATTCCTCAACCTCAAAATACCTCTCAAGCTGCGCCTCAAACAACTACACAAGTTGACATTGCGGGCACCTTTCAAGTGTTAGCTAACCTTTTGCAGCAACAAGCAACTAATAATCAAGCGTCCTATTTTGAAAGGTTTAGACGTGTAAACCCACCAACTTTCGATGGTGGACCAAATCCCTTGGCAGCAATTAAATGGATCAAAGAGGTGGAGAAATTGTTTGTAGCTATGCAGTTCCCTCCGGAAATCAAATTGGGTGTAACTATACCATTGCTTCAAGGAAATGCAGAGCATTGGTGGGGGGTTACAAGGGCATCATACCCAGATGGGGATCATATAACTTGGGAAGAATTTAAGAGGGTGTTTTATCGTAACTATTTTCCTGATAGTGTAAGGAGGGTGCTAGAAAATGAATTCCTAAATTTGGTGCAAGGTGATATGACAGTCTTGGAATATGCTCATAAATATATGGAACTAGGAGAGTTCTTTCCAATCTATATGAGTAATGAGGAAACAAAGACCAATAGGTTTGAAAATGGTTTGAGGTCTGCAATCCGCAATCATATGTCATCTAATGTTTATCATAGCTACCAAGAAGTGTTCGATAGTGCCATAAAAGTTGAAGCAAGGTTGAATGAGTCCAAGGAGCAGTGGTCTGACAGAAAAAAGGTAAGAGAATCCATACAACAATATGGAAAGCCAAGGGATAGTGGAAATGTACCAAATAAGAAGACAAGTAAAGGACATGTTGTGCAGACCAAGGAGTGCAACTTCTGCCATCTTTATCACACTGGGGAATGTTGCCGTAAGTCTTGAGCATGTTTTGAATACGGTCAATTGGGACACAAAGTGAAAGATTGTCCAAGGAAAATGCATATTGCAGCAGGATCAACTCAACAAAAACCCAGGACTAATGCTCGCGTATTCGCTATGACTCAACAAGATGCAGATGTTGCCGACAATGTTGTTTCAGGTATATTGCCCATAAACTCTATAAACGCTTATGTCTTGTTTGACTCTGGTTCCTCTCATTGCTTTGTGTCTAAGAGATTTGTGAAGTCTTTGAACCTAATAACGGAAAAATTAGATGAACCCTTGATTGTTAGCACCCCTATGAAGAAGATTGAAGTTGCGGCGGATATGTGGGTCAAAAATTGTATTTTTTTGCTTGGAGGGAGAGAAATGGTGGCAAATCTAGTTTTGCTGGATATACATGATTTTGATGTCATACTTGGGATGGATTGGCTATCAAAGAACCATGCTTATATTGATTGCTCTAAGGGAAAGGTTATATTCTAGATTCCAGGGCAACAAGAATTTTGCAAGCAAAACTGCAAAGAGAGAGGTGTATTGGCCACTAAGATACCCCTACATATCATCTCAACCATGAGTGCAAGAAAATCATTAAGGAAGGGATGTCAAGGGTTTATAGCTTATGCAATTCATGCACAAACCAAAGATGTGAAATTAGAAGACATTCCAGTGGTTAGTGATTTTCCTGAAGTTTTTCCTGAGCAATTACCAGGAGTACCCCCTGATAGAGAGATAGAGTTTGAGATTGATTTGATCCCTGGAACAACTCCTAAGTCCAAAATTCCATATAGGATGGCTCCAGCAGAGTTGCGAGAATTAAAGGTACAATTGCAAGAGTTACTAGACATGAAATTTATCCGCCCTAGTGTCTCACCTTGGGGTGCACCTGTTTTGTTTGTTAAAAAGAAGGATGGGAGTTTTCGACTTTGCATCGATTATAGAGAGTTGAATAAGGTAACTGTAAGGAACAAATATCCGTTACCCCGCATAGACGACTTATTTGACCAATTACAAGGAGCAAAGTATTTCTCTAAGATTGACTTGAGATCTGGTTATCACCAATTGAAAATCAAGGCAGCAGATGTACCTAAAACTGCGTTTCGAACTAGATACGGCCATTATGAATTCTTAGTTATGCCTTTCGGGTTAACGAATGCTCCCGCTGCTTTCATGGATTTGATGAACAGGGTATTCAAGCAATTCTTAGATAAATTTGTTATAGTCTTCATCGATGATATTTTGGTTTACTCTAAAACCAAAGAAGAGCATGTAGAACACTTAAGGATGGTGTTGCAAACATTGAGAGACAAGAAGTTATATGCAAAACTAAGTGTGAGTTTTGGCTTAACAGAGTATCTTTTCTTGGTCATGTAATATCAGAAAATGGAATTTCTGTTGATCCAGCCAAAGTAGAAGCAGTGTCTAATTGGCCACGACCTACGAATGTAACTGAGGTAAGGAGTTTCCTAGGGCTGGCCGGCTATTATAGAAGGTTTGTGGAAGGATTTTCTCAAATTGCTTCTCCCTTAACTAACTTGACACGGAAGCTTGTGAAATTTGAGTGGACAGCAGAATGTGAAAGAAGTTTTGAGGACTTGAAAAGTCGTCTAGTAAGTGCACCCATATTAGCACTCCCCTCGAGCATGGGAGGATTTGTTATATACAGTGATGCCTCAAAGAAAGGGTTGGGTTGTGTGTTAATGCAAAATGATAGAGTGGTGGCTTATGCTTCTCGCCAACTAAAACCTTATGAAGCGAACTACCCAACTCATGACTTAGAGCTTGCAGTGGTGGTTTTTGCTTTGAAAATTTGGAGACATTATTTATATGGGGAACCTTGTGAGATTTTCACTGATCACAAAAGTTTGAAATACTTGTTCACACAAAAAGATCTAAATATGAGGCAAAGGCGTTGGCTAGAGTTAATTAAAGACTATGATATAAGATTTCACTATCACCCAGGAAAAGCTAATGTGGTTGCAGATGCACTTAGTCGAAAATCATCTATGGGACTTGCAAACTTTCTAACTATGCAACCTCAGATACTAAAAGAGTTTGAAAGGATGGAGGTAGAAGTGATAACTAAGGATAAGTTTAGTAAGGTTCTGGCAACTTTAACTGCTCAACCAGCATTATTGGATAGAATTAAGGTTGCTCAAATTGATGATCCAGGGTTGAAAAAGATAAAAGAAAGATTAGAGAAGGATGAGACTACAAACTTTTTAATTTTTGGGGATGGTTCATTGCGCTTCAAGTCTAGGTTGTGTGTGCCAAATGATGAGGTGATTAAGAGGGAAGTCTTAAGTGAAGCTCATAAGTCTCATTTTGAAATACACCCTGGTGCCACAAAGATGTATAAAGATTTGAAAAGAAACTTTTGGTGGAGCGGCATGAAGCGTGACGTAGCGGACTTTGTATCAAAATGCATGGTTTGTCAACAAGTCAAAGCAGAACATCAAAGGCCTGCAGGATTACTAAGGCCCTTAGAAATACCAGAATGGAAATGGGAACACATTTCAATGGATTTTGTGTGTGGGTTACCAAGGACTACTCGAGGAAATGATTCTATTTGGGTGATTGTTGATAGACTCACTAAGACTGCACACTTTTTGCCAGTTAGACGTACTACACCATTGAACGATTTGGCTCAACTCTATATTGATGAGATTGTTCGATTGCATGGAGTTCTAGTGAGCATTGTTTCAGATAGGGACTCAAGGTTTTTATCAAAATTTTGGAAGAGTTTGCAAAGAGCCTTGGGTACAGAACTTAAACTCAGTACAGACTTTCACCCTCAAACTGATGGGCAAACAGAAAGGACAATTCAGACCTTAGAGGATATGCTTAGAGCTTGTGTACTTGACTTTAAAGGCAGTTGGAGTAAACATTTGCCCTTAATTGATCGAGTTTGCTTATAATAATAGTTATCAATCAAGCATTGGAATGGCACCGTATGAAGCATTATATGGGAGGAAGTGTAGGTCACCTTTGTGTTGGGATGAAGTTGGAGAAAGAAAGATATTGGGTCCTGAACTGGTAGAACTTACAGTTGAGAAGATTCAATTAATAAGAGATAGGATCAAAACTTCTCAAGATAGGCAGAAGAGTTGGGCTGATTTGAAAAGACGAGGCTTAGAATTTAATAGCGGAGATTTTGTGTATGTGAGAGTGTCTCCTACTAAGGGCGTGATGAGATTTGGAAAGCGTGGAAAGTTAAGTCCTCGCTATGTGGGACCATTTGAAGTTCTTGAAAGAGTTGGTGATTTGGCCTATAGGGTCGCACTTCCACCAGGATTATCTAGTGTCCACAATGTCTTCCATGTATCTATGTTAAGAAAATATATTTCAGATCCTAGTCACATATTGGACTATGAGCCACTGCATATCAAAGATAACTTGTCCTACACAGAAGAGCCTATTCGTATAGTTGACAAGAAGGAACAAACCTTAAGGCGACGTAATATCCAGTGGGTCAAGATACAATGGTCTAATCACACATCAAGAGAAGCTACTTGGGAACGAGAGGAGATCATGAGAGAATGTTATCCTGAGCTCTTTACTGAGGAAGGTATGTAAGTTTCGAGGATGAAACTTTCATTAAGGGGTAGAGTATGTAATGACAAATTTTCATTTTTGATAGTAATAATAATAATAATAATAATAGGCTAACTAGATATTTTTAGGTCTTATTCTTCCTAGGCCCAAATTATAATTTAGTTGGTTATGTTTTGATTTGGGCTTAGTCCATTCTTGGGCCCAATAATATTTGTATATCATAAGCTTGAGAAGTCCATTAGGGGGAAGGAGGTTATTCTGGAATCTTAGTAGAGAAGAAAGAGGGGAGAAAAGGACACTTGGAGCTTTTGGCGTAAGAAGAGTGAGGAGGCAGTAGGTTTTGCTTTTGTGCTCAAAAACAAAGTAAAAATAAGGGGACAAGGTTATTACTTTAGTTTTGTTGTTAAAAGAAGATATTTTACACTTTAGCATCCTGGTTCATTTTTTTGCTGTAATTCGAAGCTCAAGAATGGGAATTCTAGTGAAGAATTGAAATTGTCAAGGGTTGTTTTAAAGTGGGTGTTTTGGGATAGCTTTAGTAGGGTTATGTGCTATTTTATTATTTCATTTCCCTTGCAAACCTATGATTTATTACCCATGTTGCGGCTGATTTTTCTCCCTAATGAACTACATCTTATTTGTTAAATTTTGACAGTACTTGTTTCAAGAAGAGTAATAGAGGTCGTAGGCTCATTTATTTATATTTTTGTCTTGTTGCTTGGTGTGGAGAAAACATGGTTTTTTATAAATTTACAAGAAGAAATTGTAAATATTTGGAATGCTAGTAAGTTATAATGGTGTATGTATTTGATAGGTGACCGTGAAGGTTAGTGCATAAAGGAATTTCTATGCTTAAAGCTTACTAAGGTAAGGGAACTTTGCACTTACTTACTCATTGTAACTTATATACCATAGCTTAAGTGATTGTAAAATATTGAAGCTGTTCTTGAATATTATGGGCATGTTTTGTATGATAAAGAATTAGTACATATCTCGTGAAAATTTGGGAATTTGATGCGTTTTAATGTTGATCATGTTATATATAGATTTTCAAAGGTATTAATCATATTGGTGGTCTAACCACCCTTGTCTTGACTTGGAATGTTCCCTTGATTTCCAACTGGTGGTCTCGCCACCCTTGATTTGGAACATTCCCTTGATTTTAATTGGTAGCTTTGCTACCCTTGACTAGTGTAATATTATTAATTGATCTTGGCTCATCCTATGAGTATATTATAGTTCTCAAACTAAAATGGTGAGTTAGGTATGTAATATCTTTATTTATTTATTTCTATGATATTTTGAGCACCGATCTATGATTCATGACTTGAAGGGAAAACTCTGGAATTATTGATACTCTTATGCGATAAAATTGTATAAGAATACTAACGCTTTTATTATACTTTTTATTAAACGTCTTATGTTACCTTATTTATTTGTGGTCCTCTTTATTCTTTATACTTGATTTGGTAAAGAAGTGTTATATGATGTACCATGCTTTGAGCTCACTTGTGTGTTCATGTTTTCAGATTAGAGTGTTGATCGAGGTTAAGACAAGGGAGGTCACATTTTGGGGTTAAAGACCATGGGGTATTAGTCTAGTGTTTTGTGATAGAGGAGGACTACTTCTATTCTTTTTGTGGAGATCAAAGTCCATAGTAGGACCTTGGATTTCAAGTTGTAATTTTGGACCATGTCTAGAAGCTTAAATGTGTATATTATAATTCCAATTAAGATATCTTTGGGAGAATGAACTTTAAGACCAAGGGGCTGTTTAGGTTATCTTGTGATTGATATTTTGTTTAGCAGGCTTCGTATTATAACGATTTTGTTTTTGTCGTAATAATACGGCCGGGTTACGGTCATTTTTGGGGCGTGACAATACCATTATATGGAGCGGCGCTATCTTGAGTTGCATTCCATCTGAGGAT